GGCAGCTTCGCATTTCAACAGAAGGAATTAACAAAACAGCCACAGGGAAAAAAACACCCTACAAGCAGCGAACGCCGCGCTGCCGCCGTTCGTTTTTTTAGAAAATTTTTTCTCTTCCCCCCCCTTCCCGCTTCCCCCCTCACCGCTTTTAAACTGAGTTTGATAACGCCAGAACATAATAAACGGCGGCGGGGCGGTGTGTCGGCGCCGTGGCCGGGAGCGCGGCGGGCGGGGGATCTGTCACATGGCGGGGACCCGCACCCCGGCCGGGGCCATCCGACACCCTCGCCGCTTCCCTGGCCTCGGGTCGTTTATCCTAAAGAAAACACAGATGAAAACGCTGCTGGGCACCTCAGGAGCGGGCGCTGCCTAGGAGCTGGGGAGCGTTGGCTCTTCTCTTTGCTTCTGCAGTGATACTCTGCATCGGAACACGAGCAAAGGAGTTAAAAGTTGGTTTCTCTGCAGTTTCTGTGTGCCGCTTCTAATGGAAGCGAGAGGATCGGGCTGCTATTTAGGAGGTTTTTTTTCTTAAACGTTTTCTGAAGGAGAAAGCTTAGTTCTTTTCGAGTTTTGTGACCCTTTTCAAGTACAGTCCTTTAAAGTATCTTGGAAGTTTTCTTCAGAAGTACCTCAGCTGGTATGAAAAAGTTTGAGATAGAGCAAGAAAGAGACTTAGCTGGTGATTGAGATCATAGTTATAATATAAATAACTTTATTTCTTCGATTGGGAACAGTAGCACTCCATATTATTGATAGAAATAACTTTTTTTTTTAAAAAAAAAATTGTTTTAAAACAACTGGCCTAGTAAGTCTTCACTGCTACTTTGCATGTTAACCAACCTCAAGAATGACAACTAATATTAGTAGGGTTTAGGGCTTTTTGTATGTGTGGCTTTTTTTTTCAATAAAAAGTACTGACCTTTATTTCCTAATTCAAAGTTTCAAGTTGGTAAACAGCTATAATATCTTTATTTCCTGCTTTTGAATGACCTGTTGCACTTTGATAAATTGTTAACTTCTTGTTTCATACCTTTTTAAAAAGTGGTGTTTTTTTCCTTTTATTTCCTCAACAGGAAGGAGTGAAGACTGAAAACAATGACCACATTAATCTGAAGGTGGCAGGGCAAGATGGGTCTGTGGTGCAGTTTAAGATTAAGAGGCATACACCACTTAGTAAACTAATGAAAGCCTATTGTGAACGACAGGTATGGTACTTGTATGATGGTCAGGAGAACTGGTGTCTGGGGGAGAGGTATCCATAGAGAGATGAAGATAGTAAAGTCTTAAAACTGTGTAAATATGCAAAACGATAGAGGCTTAACAGAAACTAATTGTGTTGTGGAAAGTGTATTGTTCTTAGGATCTGTGATAGAGTGGCCTGACAGGGTTGTGACAGGAAATGGGTAAAATAAAGTTCTGTTGTTATCTTTGTGAAATCTGCATTATAGGTGTAAGCTCTTGGGAGGCAGCTGTTGGCTCTACTGATCCAAAATATCAGTATAGACAGGGTGAGTTAGGAACCTGCAGTATGCATTTAAGAAGACAGTGTTGAATGATAATCTAGAGGTATTTTTATAGCCTGGTCATAGACTTCTGATTATTAGCTTAATATTATTGTGTTAAGGTGAGAGAACATCAGTGAGTATTTTGGGGATTAAAGGTGTCTAAAGCTTGAGAAGGAACTTTTACATTTAATGATGAGCTTTGTTTTTTCTCTTGTGGCCTAGTTGTCAGACTAACCCTCCCAGGGAGAAAAAAAATGTATTTTGCTAGGGGCAACTGTAGCCAACTTACTATGTTGCAGGCAGCTATTGCAAATTTTAAAAACACCTGTGTAAGGGTAGTGCTATTTAACACTATTCTGAAGCTTCTGATTAGGAAAATTTTGTCTCTGCTGTCCGTGATTTTTTTAAATGAAAGTCTGTCGTTAAAAAGTTCCATGTCTACAAAAGTGTTTGTAATTGGGAAGGGGTTTTTTTGAACACAAATATTCAGTGAAACTATTGAATACAATAAAATCGGTATAAAATATTGAGGTAACTATTTCACCACAAAGAAAACAAACTGCAATTCTCAGTGTGGTAAAACCTCTTTGGTTTACCCTTGGCCACAATAGGATAGTGAGACGAATAAAGACAGGGAAAATCAGCTCTTACTGAAAATGTGAATATGTGCTTGTATGGGTATTCTGGGGATAAATTAGTGAATGTTTGAGGCTGTGAGCTCATTTTTTCCTACCTCTGTCATACAAATTCAAGTTATGCTATGTAAATCCCTGTGTATTGCTTTTTCCAAACTTAAAGTGCACTTATTATCTGTCTTTTGTGGAGTTAGAGGATAGGTTAATTATTTCTAAAGTTCTGGGAAAGATGATTTTAGAAGTACGATTCATATTTCAGTTACTTGGATACAAATGGAAGTAAGATTTTAGAACTTTTCACCTAAATTTCTAATCTGCTTTGAAAAACCTAAAACCAACAAAAAAACGCAGGTGTCAATGGGAGAGGAGAAAAAAAAATCTTTGGAAAGGGAGGCATTCTTTCTGATTTCAGTTTTAAGCTAGTAGGTATCCAAAGGATATTTCTGTGGAGGTGGACTTGTCTTGAAATTTTATTTCTTAGATGCTTACTTCTCAAACTTTGTTTAAAATAATTTGTTCTGTGATTCTCCAAAAGTTAAATTTTGTTCATGTTCCTAACTAGGAATGCCCAATCTTAAAATCCCTAAACTGTGGACTCTAGATTTAACTTTGGAGAGGTGGAAGCTGTGTATAGAGAATTATGAGAATATGAGAATTAGATAATATGAGAATTTAGCAGCTTTAAAGAATGAAAATCATGTATTGCATGCCGTAGACCTAAAATGGAAGTAACTAAACCTTGAATGATATGATTAGAAGATGAAGACTATTTGCAGTTTTAAGTGGGGAAAAATTGTCCATGGAATATACTTAATTTTTTGTGGACATTAATTTCACCAAGGTATGTTTCTTTCAGGGTGTTCTCAGTTAGCATTTATTCAGCTCATAAAGTTCTCAGGAACCTGCAAGAACCCAACACTTTTGGAATAAGAAATATATATTTTAAGAAACACAATGTCAGAGAAAACAGCTCAAACCAAATGTTGCTGTGCAAAAATGTGTTGCTGCCATGACACTTGGCCACATGGTTTTCTTAAACAAGATGATGTTCTGAGTGAACGGTGCAGAATCTCAGTCACACTAGAGAAGGCCTTTTACTGTGAACTATAAAGTCTTAGCACAAAGTTTACTCACATTCTGTATTAAAATATTTTCCTGAGAAATCAGCTTCTCAAAAATAATTACTACATTAAGTTTTCTTTTGTGTGTTGTATCCGCTCTTGCATGGCTAAATGAAGGCTTCTTTTCTAATTCAGAAATGCCAGAGCAGCACCATGTGATAGATTGAATTCACTTCAAAACCAGCCAGACTTCTTGTATTTTTAGATACTCTGTATAGAGAACAGATAGAACTGGGAAAGAAGTAGACATCAGGGTTCTTGGTTCTGGTTGTATCCTCAAACTTCATTCATCTTCCTTTGCAGAATGTAGTGTGCTGTAGAATACCTTTGAAAACTAACTTGTAAATTTAAAGCTTATCTTGTTAGTAGAAGGGATTGTTGCTCTTTAGTCATCTTTTTTCCATCTGTTGGCTCAAGTGACAATGAGAGTTAAGACTCCTGGGGATGGAAGAGGTCAGCAAAATGACTATTGTGTGGTAGAAATGCTAGTTCAAAATACTGTTCAGTGGTTTCTGGAAGTAGAAGGTTCCTTTAGTTTTTTTTGAAAGTTCCAGCTGTGCGTGGAAAAACTTCGATCCATTGATCTCATTAATAGGAATTCAAGGTCAAGAAGTTACTGTTGCCTATTCTTTGCTGCTGTGGACTAAGAGATGGTGGTTGCATTTCTGGAAAAAATGCGGTTTAGAATACCTTTAATTTTGGGGAAGATCAAAAAGGAGTGTTGAATATTACTGTTTGACATTTGTTATGCAAAGTGTTGCATCTAATTTTTAAGTGAATTATTATTAAAACGCACTATAAAAATCCCGGCCTTTGGGATGAAACCTATGTACTAGAAGTTGTTTTATTTTAATTTACAGTCAGTGGGGGCACTGTTGCTTCTCTTAGTTATTGGCCACAATGCAATTTTTAATATAAAACAGATTGCAAGGATTTGTAGTGAAATGCCTTAAAGTCAGTGCATGAGGGGAGTACAAAAACTGTATCGCACATTATGAATGGTGGCTTGTAATGATCATGCTGCAATTCCAGTGACAAGTTAATGAGAAAACTAGCGAGTACTTTTACACCAGACTTACTTCCCTTTGTGTTACTTCTCTTTGTCCAGGGGTTGTCAATGAGGCAAATCAGATTCCGGTTCGATGGGCAGCCAATTAATGAAACAGACACACCTGCACAGGTAAACAACAGAAGCAGGACTAAAGAACTGTGTTTGAAATTTGCTGCTGGAGTTGATGTTTCTGTTTCATATAAAATACTTGGGTAATTGTATATATTAATGATAGAACTTAATCTTTTTTTACCATTATTTTGGTATTACTAGTTTAGAATTGTTGGAAATGGAATCTTAGACTTAAGTGTGTTGAATAATTAGTCTGCATCACTGTAGTAATAAGAAAATGAAGTAAAGTGTACAGATGATGAAACTGTCACTTTACTGTGTCATGACTCTGAGATAAGTATCAGTAAGTTAAGAATTGAGTTTTTCCTGAAGCAATGGCTTTATTTTTTTGCTAGGATGTTCTCAGAGATCCTGTTTGCAAACTTGCATTTGTAATACAAAAGTAATTTTCTTTATATGTAATCTGAAGTTCTGCTTCAGCAGCAGAAAACTGATGAATCTGTGAAGTTTGGGTTGTCTGTACTTGGTTAAAACAAAGGCTGTTCCAAGGACAGAATAGTTCACCGTGGCTCTTCAGTATTTTTCTGGACTGCTCCATGTGGCTGTGTTTAATTAGCCTTTCCAAGTGATACAGCTTTATATGCTTTTCAGAACCACTTGTTATGAAATAAGGAACTTTTGGTTTTAGGAGGTTTATAGTAGATCTATGTTTTCTAAGTAGTTTCTCCAAAGTATATGCCTCTTATGGCCACAATCTATGCCACTTTTTAACTTGGAATACTGGTAATTGAGGCAACAGGGTGCTTTTTTTTTTCTCCCATCCATGTTATGCTGAAGCTAAGGATCAGTCTATTTATAGCTGCACTAAATGCCATAGACCAGTTTGATTTCCTGGAGCAGAAATTAAGACTGTTTAGAAATATAAACATTAGTTATAGCTACTCCTTCAGTCTTGGTACGGATTTTGTCAGCAGGTAACATAAACATCCCAGGAATATCAACTGTAAAAAATTACAGTGAAAAGAGAGAATTATGTTAATGAAGTACTGCTGTTCCTCATTGGCAGTTTGTTGTATGGTTGACCCTGTAAAGTGCTTTTAATTTTTTGGTGCTTGCTGATGCTTGGTTGGGCTAGGTGCCTTAATTATGGTCTGCTTTCTTTAGTGCTTCAGCTGAAGCCATTTGTACATTTGAACAGAAGCAGCAAAGTGGAATTGTGGCAATGTTCTAAAGTAAACTGAGGAAGTAAATAGGAGAAAGAAGATGCAGTGGCCAAGTAGGCAACAGAATTAAAATATTATGAATGCTGATATTTTTCATAGGAGTCACACAATGCACCCTGAAGTTACTAAATAGAATTCATTCTGGGACAACAGTTATCAACTGGCGCGCTTTTTTTCCATGTAATTTGTTTGCTTTTAAGTTACGGTGAGGTAGGTTAAATGTACAAAGTGATGTTGATGGAGGGGAGCGGGGCTGGTCTGATTGAGTTGTATAAAATGTAAACTTGAAGACAGGAAATGTAAGAACAACCCACCCTATAGTAGATAAAAGAGTTGAAAGCCTTTTTTCTCTTTTCTGCTATAGTTGGAAATGGAGGATGAAGATACAATTGATGTGTTCCAGCAGCAAACAGGAGGAGTTTACTAAAAAAAACAAAAAACAAACACAAAAAAAGAACCTGCTACTTTCCTCTCCAGAACTGTGCTCCCACAGGCGACACATTCACAATTAGAAAAATGAGACTTGGTTCAGCCACATCCTGACTACTGCAGTATAGTTTTCTCTCTTCTCTCTCTGATTATTTTTTTTTTTCCTATTCCTTCTATTGTACATAAAGTAACTGGTGTATGTGCACAGACATAATGCATATTTTTTTTAACTAAATGGCCAATGGTATGTTTTGATCAACATTTAATGGAGATGGGGTGGGAAAACAAACTGGTTCTGTGAAAATGCCCCTTTCTCCGTTAGTGGCATGCTCCTTCTACTTTTATCTTTATATTCCAGTAAGTTATTTTGCTCTCACTGTTTAAAAAAACCCACCTTGCATACCTTGTTTGATTGGATAATTTCAATGTTTTTCTTTTATCATTGTAAAACCAAGGACAATTTTATAACTTTTTTGTACGTAGCTGTTACATGTAGAGCAATCTCTGTCTAAGTAGGGATAAATTACTCTTAAAAAAAAAAAAAAAATCCTAGATAGTTTTCCCTTCAAGTAAAGCGTCTTGTTGTTTAAATAAACTTCTTGTTTAAAATAACCAGTTTTCTTTATTTTTCTGTGGAGTAACAGTACTCAGCGCTTGTATTTCTTTCTCTGCAGCACTTCATGCTTCTCAATTCTGAGCTTTCTATGCGGTAAGTAAGTGTAATCCCCTTCCTGCAGTCGGAGGACTGTTGGAAATGAAAGGCTTCCTTGAGACCTCTCAGTCAGTCAGTAGTTGAACTGGAAATGGAAATCAGTTTTGTCTTTTGATTATTTTGTTTTTGTGTATGATCTGCTAAGCCAAAAATGTTTGATTAGGCAAACTGCAAAATACTGGACTACTTAATTACTTAATTAATGCCTTTGGGTTGAGCTCTTTCTGTCAGTTTTTGATAGAAACATCAATATTGTTGTTACAATAGCTTATTTGAAACTCTGTATTTGAATGCTTTTTGATGTAAAAAGAGCAAATAATTTCGTTAACCTTTCAGTTTATTGTGGTATCAAATGGGAGATGCTTGGAAATGTAAAGTAAAAATAAAAGATTGAGTTCTGTTTTGGGGTGTATTTAGCTATGGTGGTGTAGATTCCAAGCTCTGCTTTACCGTTGTGGTATTCCTGCTTGAAAGGGGGAGAGAGGCTTTTGAAGTACCGAAGCAAGCTAGTGACAATGATGTTTTTCATGAGTCTTTTCCACAAGGCTGTTCCTAAGTTTTCTCATGGGGAAGTTTAGAGGTTGTGGTGGAATCCATGGATGTTCATGAAAGATTATATACCTGTCTACTCAACAGCCCCAGAGCATTCTCTGATGTCCTTGGAATGTTCTGATCTTTTGTAGTGTTTGCAGTAAGTTAATGCTCTTTTAGGTATTAACTTGTTAGCAGAGCTCACTTTTTGGAGATAGTTTTTGTAATAGTTAATTCAAGAAGTGATTATTAGATGGTAGACCAGTGCCTGCTGGATCTGAAAATTCTTAAAATTTGTGGTAAAATGTCCTTTTAGCAGATGGACAATGATCTATTTGAGTTCTGTCACGGTTTTCACGTATCTGATATTACATTAGTTATGTTTAATGAGGATATAAGAAAAGTTGTGTCTTTGCAGTTGCTTTTGACTGTGTAGCTGAAAAATGTAATCTACTGTATGCCATGATTTTAATTCTAGGAAATCCTACTGCTAAGCAGATTATTTCTTATTCTTGTATGTATCTTTTAGACTTCTGTGGTATATTGCAAGGTTGGAATTCCCTCTTGTGAACAAATGTTTTCATATCCAAACCCACAAATGTCCTGGAAAAAACATTTGGGGAAAAAAAGTGGTGATGGGAATATATTTCAACATCTCTTGTAGATTAGACATGGAATACATTGCTCTTTGGCTTTAGAATCTCTGGCTTTCAACCTGGATAGAATTCTGATACTGGTATATAAAATTCTTTCAACTTGATGTCATGCCAAGATTTTTCCCAGGAGAAAGCTGTCTTTATCTCGTTTGGCCAAAAAAGATGTTTGAACTTGCTTTAGTTTCTGAAGAAAGGGTGAGGTCTTCTTAAATACAGATTTTTTTCAGTGCAACTTAAGTCTCTGAAGTTCAAAACTCCCTGTTGTATCTTGCCTACTATTTTTTTCTTTCCTGAGGCAATGTATGTCAAGCGACAGGTACTGAACAGCATGCTTTCAAAACCAGCGTCTTAATTTCCTGGATTAGTAGAGTGGTACTTCATCTGTCATGAATTTAGGTGCAGGATTCTTGTAACATAATGTTCCATTAATAAAATGAGACCATTTAACATGAATTTTGATTAGCTTACCAAAATCTCCCTGTGCAGAAATTAAAAACATAGGATTTTGTACCTTTGAATTGATGTGGCAACTTTGGAAATACACCTTAATTCAGCATAAATTGAAGTTTTCTCTAGTATTTAGCGACAGGCTATTAAAAAATGGAGAGGCATTGATCACCTAAATTTTTCCATTTCTACCATCCTTCTGCTATTCACCTGAGCTTGCCCTTCATATTTCTGAAATAATTCCTCTGACAATGCTGGATGGTGTTTATGTCAGATGGTGACTTCAATCAAAAACTGATAAAATGGTCTTTTCTGAGAGGTGTTTTCTTCTTGTTTGAGTTTCTCAATTTTTATCTAATCATCTTAAGTGACTTAGTTCCTTAAGAGCCTCAAACTTTTAATTTCCATTAATCTAGCAGAGTAAGTGGACCGGCACATTCTGACACATGACATATTTGTGTACACAGCAATGTAGAAATACTAACCTGTTCTTTTTAAAAACTGTATTTTTAGAACTCTTGTTGCATGGTCTTGCAAATACTCTCCTTATAACAGACCCGTTGCTTTTTGGTACTGCTCCTTTGCCACTTAGAGAATTTATGTGTTGATTCCTGTTTGCTGGGACCTAAGTGGTTTTGCTGTGACTTCATCTTCACTAAGGAAGCTACTGCTAGGGGTGATAATTCAGAAATGGTATGAAGTACAGGGATATAAACAATTTGGATCAATTAGTTGGAGTTCACTTAGCTGTTTGGCCTGGCTTGATTTTTTAATAGTTCTTGTGTATACACCGGTAGCCTGATGGACTACTAGAAGTCCACGTGGCAGAGGATGGAGGAAAATTGGGAAAAGGGGTCTTATCAAGCTAGTTGGGAGGTTAAGTTTTCCATGTTTATTAAACAGCTGGGATCTTTCAAGAGTCTGGGCAAATTATATTATTGCCTACAATTTTCAAATAATGTATTCTAAAGTGATTGCCCTGCAATTTAGTTAATAGTCCTCTCATGGTTTTTAGGTTAAAAAGAATGGAGTAAGTCATAAATTGGATACAATACTCTAGTGAGTTCTTGTGGATGATAAGATGTTGTCTGTAGTATATGCTGGGTCTTTAGTCCTTCAGACAGTTTCTGTTTCAGTTGTGAAATGGACACAACCAGTTATTTTAAAAGATGTAACCAAAACTGTTTCAGGCAGCTAAAGTAAGGCATTTTTATTCATGTATGGGGGATAATGACAGGTTGAAAGCATAGCTGGTTTTGGTGGGATCCTCAGTTAACACCTGAAAATCAGTGCCTTGGTTTATCTGCACAATGGGGATAATACCCATTTAATCAGGCTCTTGTGAGGATCAATATTAAGTGGCCTGAGATGCTGGTTCAAAAGGTGTTCTGGGAGTTCAAGGCTTTCTGAAATGGAATATGCTAAACTGTCAAGAGTGTAAGGAAATCCTCCAAGTGGTAATCTGAGAGAGATTCTTGTACTGGCATATGGAGGTGTTCTCAATAAAACAAAAATCCCTGAAGTAGCACTAAGATAACTGCTACTGCAAGATAACTACAATATCAAGACAGATAGAGCATCTCTGCAAAGGTTATGGTCAAACCGAGATTATTTTCTCACAAGAATATTGCTTTCTAGTACCTTCACTTCATTACTTCCGAGTCAGACAGTGTAATGTAAGTGCTGTTGTTTTGTGTGTTGGATACTGGTTCTATTGTGACTGTTACTGCAACATTAATGAAAAGGTATAATGTGACTGGCTCAAAGAAAGAATACTTTCTATGCTTCAGCCAGTTGGAAAGAATTGAATTTCTAAGGAATAGCAATTTGTTTCCAAAGCTAAAAATAAAAAACTAGATACCTCCTTCATCATCTGTTAAATTGAAAGTGAACAATGAATTGAAGGATTTTTATTAAGATTGTGGCCTCTTCTCAGTACACTTGTATGAGCTGTTGTGCAGAACGAAAAGACAATCAAAAGCATTTAAATGATTTGAATTCTTCTTAATTATATTACCACTGTAATTAATACATTTAATTCTCTGGATTATTGAGGTTTGTTCATTCTGACTGTTAAATGGTTGCCAAATTGAATGTGTTCTGATAGTGAACAATTTAATCCTTTAATTTATCTTGCTTTTTTGTACTTGGTGTCAGAATGAATTGGTAGTACAGCACTTCTCCCTGGTGGTTAGGATGTAGGAGTGTAAGGATGTATAGGAGATAGAAGACTGGATTTTGATCTCTGTTTCAAGTTTTTGATTGTCCTTCAAGATGCTTAATTACAGAGGTTTCCTGGTTTCTTCACTAGTAGCATGGGTCTGATGGTCTTACTCTAACATGGAGATGCTGGGAGGCCCAGCTGGTGCTTATGAAATGGTTTGAGTTCCTTGGAGAGGAAGAGTTTTCCCGTATCCCTGAAGAATTTCCCTTTGTGCAGAAGGATGAGGTAGGGCTGGTGATGCTATGAAGGAGGTGGTTTGCTGTCAGCAGAGATCCTGGAAGTAGCAAACGTCAGTGGGGTGCGGTAGAAAGAAGTGTATGAGTTGGTGAGGAGCTGCAGTGGGGATGAGGACTGTGGGGAGAGTTGTAGGTTTTAACAGTTCTGATATGAGGATGATTTTGGAGCACAGGGAAGGACTAAGGTTGTGAAAGCCCAAATAAATAGTGAATAGATTGTTTCTCCTTGGGAAAGGAATATTTTTCCAGGGAGACATGGATGCAAAGGACACCCTTTGATTAATTTTGTGTTTGTTTTGGTGGCGTAGATCCCACCACCCCCTCCTTCTTTCAGCATCCAG